CCGCCCCGGAGCGGCCGTCCTGGCCGGGGCACCGTCGCCATCCAGGCTGATATTTAGATAGCATCGCCCAGGTAAACAGGCAGGGCCACCACGGCGTCGCCTCGGCGTCGCCTCGGCGTCACCCAGCGCGGCGACGACGACGCCCCGGCCTCGCCTATCTGCACATCTACCGCGTCATCACCGTGACGCCGATTCCCACCAAGAATGGACATCGTTGCCGAGGGTCGACGGCGAGGCTGTCTGAGCCGAGCGGAGCCGAGTAGGCTGTTAGGTTTCCAGGACCATTAGGCGCTGCGTGGCGGCAAGGCGCGGCACGGCGCGGCCGTGAGGCGCACGGGGACGTAACTTTCCATCATCTTAGACTAGAACGCACCCCAGCGGCCTGTTGCCGCGCCGCCGTCCCCTCCGTCCCCTCCGTTCCGTCCGTTCAATTCGCTTTTACTGCGTCGGGCTTTTTCGCGCAAAACCTCCCCAAGGAGCCCCTGCAGCCCCCGCAGCCCCCGCAGCGCCCGCGCGCGGAGTGGCGTAGAGTGGCGCCGAGGTGGATTCACTGCAGGCGCCGCGTTAAGGGGCTTTGTACGAATATGGATTTTCCCTGTTGATGCGGTTAACTGCCTCCCTCCAAGCCAACCCTGCAGCCCCCAAAGTCCTTTACAAGCGGCTGTGGCCTGAATCCATCCCGGAGCAGCCCGGCTCCTCAGAGGGTTGTACTAGCACCCCTCGGCAAGCCGCAAGGTTGGCTAAGAACAGGCGATGCCCCCTCCCCCTCCGAGTCCCCAAGGCAGCGACCCCCCCCCCCTCCCCGCGTGTGCAACTATTCGCCCCACTCGCCGCATGACGTCACATGCTAAACTTGTTGGTTGCAGAGAGCGGGGGCGTATCCACACAAAACACAAACTATGAAGGTCAGTGGGAAAGACAAAAACTCGAAGTGTTTGATAAAGACGGACGACGGGCATCAACTGTTTGCTTGGCAGTGGACCTGACGAGGCCCCCGCCTGCCGCCCTGCCGGCCGCCCCGCCCCCCCAGGGGTCCATGCCCGATGTCCGACCGCAGTTCGTCCGGGCCGGCCAAGCAGGAAGAGGCGCCGCCAGAGCCGTCGGGGCTGCAGCTGGTGCACGGGCTCGCCGACAAGGAGGGCGTCGTCGAGGCCCCCACTGACATCGCCCTGGCCGGCACCAAGGCGCTGGACCTGCCGCAGCTCACCTGGAAGAACTACAGTGTGCCGCCCGCCAAGCTCGTCATCACCAACACGGGGCACACCGGTGCGAAACCAACTGAAACCGCTCTTACAAAAAGAAAAACAGTTGTTTTAAATTTTTGTTGTTGTTTTAGTGAACGTGGGCGGCAAGTGGGAGAGCAACCGGTCCTACCTCCGCGATGGCCCGTTCAAGGGGCAGTACGTGTTCGCCCAGATGCACTTCCACTGGGGGCCGGGCGACGACACCGGCTCGGAGCACAGCGTGGATGGCGTCAAGTAAGTCCTCGCCGTGAACGCGAGGCTTTGCGATTCAGGACACCAAGTGACACGATGCCACGACAGGCTGCCCATGGAGCTGCACGTGGTGCACATCAACCGCGTGTACCGCACCCAGGAGCTCGCCCTCAAGGAGAACGACGGCGTGGCCATCCTCATCTACCTGTTCCAGGTGCGCCTGACGGAGGCTGTGGGGAATTCACTAACGCGTCACGCAAGTATTACACGTGGCTGTCTATTGTTTTTGTTGGTAGCTGCAAGATGAAGACAACTCGGACCTGACGCCCATCGTGGAGGCCCTGCCCATGGTGACGCTGCCCCAGACCTCCACCACCATCGAGCCCATGGGGATCGAGAAGGTGATCGTGCCCTTCCAGAAGGACTACTTCCTGTACTGGGGCGCCGTGTCCTCCGCCACCTGCAAGCACCGGATCCTGTGGCTGGCCTGCCGCACGCCCTTGGGCATCAGCTCGGCGCAGGTGAGATTCGCGCCGCATTGCTCGCCCGGTTTCTTCGTGTAAAGTCCTCTTCCTCTCCGCTCCCGCTCTCTAACTTTCCTTCCTTCGCAGCTCGCTCAGTTCCGCCAGATCCGCGACGTGAGCGGCCAGTACATGGTGAAGAACTTCCGCGAGACGCACCCGCGCACCATGAACACCCTGTTCCACGTGAACCCGTCCTCCAAGCTGGAGAGCACGCTGCTTGCACTGTACCCGGGCCACGCGCTGGCGGGCTCCAAGAGGCCCTCCGCGCTGCCCGCGGACCCGGGCGGCAGTCGCAGGGCCTCGGGGGAGGACAGCGCGCGCGCCTCGGGCGAGCAGGCCTCCGCCAAGGCCAAATCGCCGACCTCGGACAGCAAACGGCCGTCCGGGGAAGGCCCGGCTGGCGGCCCGGACGACAGGAGGGATGGCCCCGACGGGCCGGGCGACGACGGCTACAAGTCCCTCGAAGGCACGGTGCTGCAGGAGAGCTCCCACCAGGACGTCATGTCACTGGACCACGTCGAGTCCGGCGAGCTGGCCGCGGAGAGCGCCCCGCTGGAGTGCAAGGCCAGCCACGCGTCGTCCATCTGCCTGGAGGACGCCGAGGAGCCCGCGCTGTCGCAGCCCGCGCTGTCGCAGCCCGGCCTGGACGTGTACGGCCTCGCCCTGGACCACGTCTCGGAGGGGCCCAGCGGCGCCGAGGCCATCAGCGCCATCCGCGTGCAGGTGGACACGCCCCTGGACGCGCCGGGCGGGGCAGCCGGCGGGGACGCCGTCGTCGGGGAGCTGGCCGGTGCCCCGGGACCCACCATCGTCACAGCCTCGGGCACGAAGATCTCGCAGCCGCAAGCTGGGCCCGGGGCTGGGCCCGGGGCTGGACCCGGGGCTGGACCCGGGGCAGGACCCGGGGCCGACCCCACCCAGTTCATGGCCACCTGGAGCGGCGGCACGCCCTCCGGCAGCCCCGTCGACCAGACCGCACCACCCGGGGCCCAAGACGCTGCAATGGGCGGCCAGCCGGCTGCAACTGACACGGCTGCAGCCGGCGAGGCGGATCCCGGCGCCTCGGATTCACCCAAGACGCTCATTCTGACGCCACAGCGGCCGGGCTCCGTCACCACCTTCGCTGCCACCGGCGGTGAAGCAGTAACTGCTTCTGGGACCCAGCCAGCCCAAGCTGCCCAAGTAACTGCTTCCGGTTCGCCGGTCGCGCAAGGAACTGCCACCGACGGCCCGCCGGGCCAAGTAACTGCGTCGGGGGTTCCAGTCGCCCAAGTCACTACTGCACCGGGTGTCCCAGTTGGCCAAGAAACTTCTTCAGGTGTCCCAGCCATCCAAGTTACTGCATCAGGTGTCCCGGCGTCCCAAACAACTGCCCCTGGTGCTCCAGTCACACAGTTCATACCCTCTGGTGCTCCAGTCGCCCAGTTCACACCTTCAGGCGCACCAGTCGCCCAGTTCACACCCTCTGGCGCTCCAGTCACCCAGTTCACACCTTCAGGCGCACCAGTCGCCCAGTTCACACCTTCTGGCGCGCCAGTCGCCCAGTTCACTCCATCTGGTGCTCCAGTCGCCCAGTTCACTCCATCTGGTGCTCCAGTCGCCCAGTTCTCACCTTCTGGCGCTCCAGTGGCCCAAGTCACCCCTTCCGGTCCCCCAGCCGACTACGTCACTCCTTACGGTGCTCCAGTCGGTCAGTACGAGTCTGAAGAACCAGCTCCTCAAAGCACCCCCTCCGCCCTCGCACAAGGTACCGCGGCGCCTGCCACCTACACTCCATCCGGTAACGTCGTAGCCCAAGTGCCCACTTTTGGAGCGGCCGCGGCCCAGGGCCCAGGAGTGTCAATCCCTCAAACAACGCCATCAGGCCACGCCATCAAAAAATCCAGCTCGGGGACAGCTGCCACCAAGACGGCCTCGGGCACCGTCGTCTACAAGACGCCCTCCGGCACCGCCTTCGCCAAGACGGAGTCTGGCACCGCCGTCTACAAGACGCCCTCCGGCACAGCCTTCACAAAGACGGCCTCCGGCCCCGCCGTCTACAAGACACCCTCCGGCACCGCGGTCACTAAGACGGCCTCCGGAACGATGGTGCCCCACAGACCGCGTTCCCGGGACGCCATCGCCACGGGGTCAAGAAGCCTCATGCCTCAGAGAACCGCCTCGGGCAACGTCGTCGCTCAGACGGCCCCCGGCGCCGCCATCCCGCAAGTGATCGTGTCCGGGACGGGGCTGCCCCAAGCCACTCCCACGGGCGGCCCTGCAGGCGGGGCCTACGCCGGGGGGGCTGTGGGCGACGCTGAAGGAGGTGCGCAGGACGGAGGCGGCGGCCAGGGCGGCGAGTACGGCGGTGGAGGCGGCCAGGGCGGCGAACGCGGTGGCGACGACTACGGCGGCGGGGGCGGCGCGCAGGAGGCCGGCGGCGGCGGCGGCTTTGGAGGCCAAGGCGGTGAGTTCGGAGGCGCTGCGGGTGGCGGCGAAGACGGCGAGGATGGAGAGCGCGGCTGGGCGGACGCAACCGGGGAACCCGACGTGAAACAAGAGGATCAAGAAGACCCAGAGGGCATGGGCGGCCAGGGCGGCGAAGAACAGCCGGGCGCCGAGGGCCAGCCCGGTGCCAGCGCGGCCGCCGCCAAGGCCAGCAAGGGCAGCGTCAAGGGCAGCAAGGGCAGCAGGGGCAGCGTCAAGGGTAGCGCGGACGGTGGCGAATGCATCAGCGAGAAGGGCTCCAAGTCCTCCAAGATGTCCAAGAAGTCCGAGGCCTGGGCGGACGCCGAGGAGGAGGCCGTGGAACAGGAGCTGGGAGCAGCCGCGCTCACCGGGGAGGAAGCGGCCCACGCAGGCACCGTGGCGGGCACCGCCGGCCAGGATGGTGACCAGGCGGGCGTCCCCGCCGGCGTGGACGGCGCGGGGCCGGCCGGCGGCGAAGGGGTGGCCAGCGGCGAAGGGGTGGCCGGCGGCGAAGGGGTGGCCGGCGGCGAAGGGGTGGCCGTAGGCGAGGGGATGGCTGGTGCCGGCGGCGTGGCGGGCCCCACCGGGCAGCAGGGTGACCAGGGCGCCGGGCCGGGCGCGGGTCCCGGAGAAGGAGAAGGACAGCAAGTTGACGGTGCAGCGGTGGAAGCCGCGGTGGCAGCCCTGAACGCTGGACTGCCTGGCGGCCTGCAACTGGAGCCGCCGCCACCGCCCTACAAGTTCCAGTACTTCCAGCCAGAGCTGGAGGAGCAGCGCTCCCGCGAACCCGAGCCCGTGTTCTTCAACAGCATCGCCGTGTCGCCGGCCGTGCTGCACTCCAAGACGTCGCTGACCAGGATCAAGCCCACCACGCCCTGCCACGGCAAGGCGCTTAAGGTGAGCCGCAGGGCCGCCCGTCTCGACCGCCACACACCGCCGCGCAGCGCCATGGTCAACGTGTCCTTGTTGCAGATCTACGAGGAGGAGAAGGGGATTTGGAAGCAGCAGGAGGCCGCGAGGCAAGCCGTCGAGGAGGAGGCCATCAAGTACATGGGCCTGCAGGAGGACGAGTGGAACGACATCGCGATCAGTGCGGCCCAGCGCAAGAGGGACGCCCGACCCGCAGGTAAGAAAAGCTATCTGTATTTGAACCCACGCCTGTTGGCTGCAAAGAGTTAAAACGCCCTCTTGCAGACGCCGAGATATCGGGGGTGGGCTGGCCCTTCGACGAGTTCCAGTCCGAGAACTCGGACATTCCTCTGCTGTCGCCCATCGACGTCAACCTGCAGGCCCTGGCCGACGTGAAGCTCAACCCCCTCGTCTTCGACGGCCACTTCACGGCCGAGGCCCTGACCAAGATAGCCAACACGGGTGAAACCGGTGAGGGTGTTGTCAGCTCGCGCAAATTAAGTTTTTTAAATTTTCAAAATCATAAAATGCACAAAAACAACGGCCCCACAGTGGAGGTGCGCCTGATCAACCCCGAGCTGACCCCCACGCTGTACGGCGGCCCGCTGCACGACGAGTACATCTTCGACTCGATGCACTTCCACTGGAGCTCGGGCTCCTCGCCCGACTGCCTGGGCAGCGTGCACAAGGTGGGCGGCCAGCGGTTCTGCATGGAGGTGCACATGCTGCACTACCGCGCCATCCACGGCAACAAGAGCGAGGCCCTCAAGCACCAGGGCGGGCTGTGCGCCGTCGCCTTCATGCTGCACGTGAGTGGCCCTCTGTCTCTCTCCCACTCACGGCGCGCCCCTTTTGGGCGCGAGAGAGACAGAGCGACGAAAGCGACTCTCAGTCACAAAGTGGCGGGATTTGACCGTTCTCCTTCCAGCTGACGAACATCGAGAACCCCTTCCTCGCGCGGCTGGCGCGCGACCTGGCCAAGATCGAGGTCCCCTTCTCGTGCACGCCGCTCGAGCACAACGCCATGCTGTGCTGCGCCGAGGCGGCCGCGCCCTTCGGCTACGTCACGTACCCCGGCACGCTGGTGGGCCGCGAGGACAACCTGAACGTGGTGTGGATCGTGTACCCGTCGCCCATCGGCATCTGCTGCACGAACGTGAGTCCGTGGCGGCGGCGGACGGCGCGCGCGTGTCGCTTTGATGTCTCCCCTTTGTCACTCTCTCTCTCTCTGTCGGGCGCAGACCGCGCCGTTCCAGAAGCTGCGCGCCGGGGTGGAGGACATGCCCAGCGGCCTGCTCACGACGCACGAGCTCGCCGACAGGCCCGTCCTGCGCGCGGTGCCCTAGCCGGCCTGCCAGCCTGTGCCGCCGAGCTCGCCGGCCGCGCGGGCTGCCGCCTATCACGGCGCTCCATCGCCAGACCGCCACACCGCCACACCGCCACACCGCTCATCAAACCGCCGCCGATTTAACAGAGGGAAAATGAAGCGACGCCGCAACCATTTCGGACTCGTTCTTTCGGGCTGCCCCGCATGCGAACAGTCGGTACTTCGTCGCTCTGTCTCCCTCGCACCCCGACGGAACGCCCCGTGAGTGCGACAGGGACAGAGCGGTGACGGAATGGTTCTCCGGAATCTGTCTGCTGGTAACTCACACGCGGCGCGGCGGCGCGGCGGCGCGGCCGGCACCTTGGCTCCAGAGGTGACGGCGGAGACGACGGAGACGACGGAGACGCGCGGCGCGGAGAGGAGACGAGACGCAGCGCCGGCTGTTGCGCTAATCCCGCGTCGCTGACTCACCGAACAGCCTGCGCCGTGCCGCCGTGCCGCCTCTCCGCCATCTGGCGCTACAACGCTTCGCCGGGGACGGAGGGGGCGAGGGAGTGACGCCCCGACACGCCCCCGTATACAGTGGGGCACTCGCTGCCTCTAATCTCCGGAGGTCCAAGTCACACTGCAGTGCAGTGGAGCGGGGCGGGGCGGGGCGGGGCGGGGACAGGTTGGCTCAGTTTACTGGACCCGAGCTCTAACTCTAATGCATTGCGCTTCAGACTTTCCACATTAAAAAAAAAGCAGATGCTCTACACGGTCATGCTTGTATCGTCACTCCTCCCCGCCCTGAAGGGCCGCTTTTTGTCGCATCAAATTGAACTCGGTCCCGCCCTGCCGGAATGCGGTAGTATCAGCAAGTTGGCACCCCGGCCACCCGTGGGGGAGAACTTAGAGCAACCCTCTTAGAGCAGCTCCAGACAAAAAAAAAACACTTGGCCGGGGACCCCCTCAGATCTGGCTCCCTCCCGGTTTTTTTGGTTCCTCTAGTGAATACGAATTGCCGAAACACAAATTGGGCCGGATCCAACACCGATTGGCTTTTTGGTAGAGGTCAAAAACCCCTAAAAATGGCTGTTTTTGAGGGTTTGGGGCTTTTTGGGATCCCGGAACCTGCTGGCCAAAAAATCTACCAAAGTGTCGTTTCCGAAAGAAAAAAGTGCGATCTTTCGAATGCCGGGTCGCGCGAGGCTCTACGACGTCGGGTTTGGACGCTACGGGCTCTCAAAGTTGCTGAATTTCACTATTTTTACTGAAGATTTGAGCGTATCAGGGCCTTTGGAAGCAGACCATCGGGGATTTCGCTCCTCTTTGGCTTAAATGGTGCCTACCCATAGGTAAACACCCCCACAAAATTTCAGCCATCTCAGGCAATTATTACAGGAACTGTGAGCAATTGAAGTTTTGGGTCATTTTACCACTAAACTTAGGTGGTTTTGGGTCCAGAAAAAATATTTTTTTCAACTATCTCTATTTGATCAGCACCTCTTGAAACGTATTTTTAACATGGTGCCTCAAAACATTTTTTTTTGAGAATAAAGTTGAGAAACCTAGTTTAGTTATTGGGACTTTATTCTCAAAAAAAAATGTTTTGAGGCACCATGTTAAAAATACGTTTCAAGAGGTGCTGATCAAATAGAGATAGTTGAAAAAAATATTTTTTCTGGACCCAAAACCACCTAAGTTTAGTGGTAAAATGACCCAAAACTTCAATTGCTCACAGTTCCTGTAATAATTGCCTGAGATGGCTGAAATTTTGTGGGGGTGTTTACCTATGGGTAGGCACCATTTAAGCCAAAGAGGAGCGAAATCCCCGATGGTCTGCTTCCAAAGGCCCTGATACGCTCAAATCTTCAGTAAAAATAGTGAAATTCAGCAACTTTGAGAGCCCGTAGCGTCCAAACCCGACGTCGTAGAGCCTCGCGCGACCCGGCATTCGAAAGATCGCACTTTTTTCTTTCGGAAACGACACTTTGGTAGATTTTTTGGCCAGCAGGTTCCGGGATCCCAAAAAGCCCCAAACCCTCAAAAACAGCCATTTTTAGGGGTTTTTGACCTCTACCAAAAAGCCAATCGGTGTTGGATCCGGCCCAATTTGTGTTTCGGCAATTCGTATTCACTAGAGGAACCAAAAAAACCGGGAGGGAGCCAGATCTGAGGGGGTCCCCGGCCAAGTGTTTTTTTTTGTCTGGAGCTGCTCTTAATGACTGCGAATCTGTTGTCGAGGGAACTTGGTTCATTGAAGGGCGGGGCGCGGGAGGGGGATAGACAAAGCGCCAAGGTGGATAGAGCTGAGGATAGTGAAAGAAGAAAGAAAGATAGATGGCGTGGGTGGTCGCCTTTCAGGGGAAGGACGCCGAAGAAGAATGTCTACTTCATTCAGCATTTTTTGGCCCGTCCCGTTTATTTTTTGTTGTTGGCGCCATCTTGACTGTTTTTGTCGCGGGGTGCAATTTCTTGGGCCGGTGGGGCTGGAGTGAGGCTGGAATCTCTGTCATGGTGGCAACAATAACTAATCGACCAGGAAAGAAGAGAATTTGTCTGTGTATTCTTTTTTTTCTACCAGTCGCATTCTTCATCTGGCCGAACTAGAATGGTCGAGTTTGCCGCCGCCTCCGATTTCTTCCCAATGCTCCTTTTTTTCCCAATCCCCTCCCCAGTTCAAAGTTTTCTGAAATAAACTTATTTGGCGTTACTACAGTGTGAAGGCCGCCCACGGCTGCAGGGGCCGGCGGACAATGCGGTGGTGGACGCGGGCTGCGAGCAAACTGGCCGAGAATCAAGGTGCATTGTGACCGCGCCGCGACACACTGTGTTACCGTCACAGTCGGCACGCGCGGAGGAAGCAACATTGCGAGTCGGGGCGTGCAGCAGCAGGAGAATGGACGGTGGCAGTGTGGCGACCGGGTTCATTTCAACAAACGAAAATAATAATGAGAAGAATCAAACCGTGCTTGAGGCGCTTGGTTTAAAAAGGCGCCCGAAATGGATTTACGGTGCACCCCAAAAAGAGCCACCTCGAAGGCAGATAGCTGCACCGAACGCCGCGGAGCCGAGGAGTCACGCCGCCAGAGGGCGTCCGTGCTGATTGATGGTCCGCGTCGCCATGAATGCGTGCAGACGTCGCCGCCACCCCGCCTCCGCGTTGGGTAGTACACTTTTCGGGGTGGCTTGGCCGCTTAAACGTTTTACCATTCGGTTTCACGATAACCGCTCGCAAAAAAAGAGCAGAGCAGTGAACCCCCGGCGATTCCCAAAACTATTCGAAAGTGATATGCCTCTAAATGATGAAAGTGGGAGTTCAGTGAAGTCACCCTTGGAATCGAACCCGACCCCGGTTCGTTTCCACTCAAAGCAAGACGCATGCGTGGCGTTCCGAGTGCGCGGCCTGCGATTCTCCGATTTTCCGCGCGTGCGGCGGCGAGGACCGCCGCGGCGCCCGCCGAGCGGCGACGGCCTGAGCTTGCCGATCGGAGGAACCGGTGGATTGCGGATTCCGAGAAATCGCTGTTCGGAGTGTCGTCGTTCAACGAGATGGGAACGTAAACTCGATTCCGTACCCGCCGCGCCCGGCCGGCGTGCCGCCTCCCTTTCGCACCGAACCGCGGCTGCATTTTGGAGCGAGCACGGCCGATTCCACCAACGGGGCGGCGCCTCTTGGAGAAGCTGTCGATTTGGAGCCCGGCGGGGATTTGATTTACAGATCACGGGGAGCGATTCGGCTTCGCAAGAACAGCGCGCGCAAAGAAGAAAAGAAAAGAAAAGAGGCTTTTGGAAGGTGTTGGCGGGGTAATCCACCGCCCCGCCTCGCCCCCGCCGACCGCCAACCTCATCCAATTTACCGATTGGCGTCGGATTGCGCTTTTTCCTGTAATGCTTATTATCGGCTGACGGGAGTGCCGCGCGAAGGGCGCGATTATGGAAAGAAAGAAGCGCCAGCTTGAGGGGATCAGCGGGGAGGGGAGGGGGGGAGGGGAGGGGAGGGGAGGGGAGGGAGGGGAGGGAGGGGAGGGAGGGGAGGGAGGGGAGGGGGGAGGGAGGGGAGGGGGAGCGAGTCCGGCCGGCCAACACGTGCACCACGCCACCCCCGACAGTGTAGCCAACCTCTCATTCGGATGGCATCGGATTGGCCGCCAACATTTCATTATCATACATATTATTTGGTGCTGTCGGCGAGGGGGTGGGGAAGGGGGAGGGGGAAGGACGACGACGACGCCAGCCAGTTGTGACAGGGTGCGCAAGTGTCGGCAGCAGCCTCATGGCACCCCCACCTCCCTTACATCCCAATGCATTCGGCCGTAGGTGTGTGTGTGTGTGTGTGTGTGTGTGTGTGGCATGTATCGCCACGGATATGTTAATTAGCGCGGATGGACAGCGCACTCTCACTGCCAAGCGATTCAGAAGAGTTTCGTCGCTCTGTCTCTCGCACTCGCGGGGCTCTCCGTACGGGTGCGAGAGAGACGGAGCGACAGGCTGGGGACAGGCGGGCGGCGCGCGACCCTGCCGCCGTCATGCTGCAGGCAATTCATGGGTAAAGGATCGCGTCTGGCCGTGGCAGAAAATCACCGCTAGCCGGATTAAAACGCGGTGCGCCGCGAACCAAACAACGATTTGAATGCCGCTGCGGCGGCGCGCCGTCGCCGCCGTCGCCGTTTTCGTCGCTCGCGGTCACGGGGCGTCCCGTTCGGGTGCGAGAGAGACGGGGCGACGAAAAGGACGCTCTGAATCAGTCTGCGAGGAGGAGAGGAGGGCGCGAGGAACACTGACTGAGGCGCGCGGCGCGTGACTACGTACGTTACCGCGACGGAGGCAGAGCGCCAGGCCGCGCCAGCCGCGCGGGGAATGAACCATATTTCATATCAATTTGTCATCCCCGCAGGCCCGGCCGCCCCGCCAGGGCCGCCAGCCCACCAGCCAGACAGCGAATAATATGCGGGCGGAAAAAAGGGGTGCGCGAGCTGAAATTTGGCGAGAGGAGTCAGCAAGACGGAGAGAGAGGCGCTCGGCCGCGCTACACTG